ATTACCAATAAAAACAGGTCGTATTCTGTCCTGTGCTATGGCTGATCACAGTTTTCTATGTTTTCAATGTTTGGGCAGTGATGGTGAGGATTGCTAGGATGGCATGAAGATTTTTGCAGGGCCAAGCTGCTAGCAAGAGCTGAGCACAGAAAGGATATGCCTTTCAGATCATATGTCAATTCAAGGTCCTGGAAGAGGGAAGGGACATCATTCCATGTGGAGTGTGGTCATCCTGGCCATGACTCCTCTCAGCTGAGAGACTCCTCGGGGTGCAACGTTTGCTCTATTTTGCTGCAGAAAATATCCAGGAGGTTTGAGTAACTATGATGATATTTGGAAAAATAAACCAGCCCCCTTTTCAGAAAACATTTCAGGCTCAGCAGTTTTTCATTTGGGAAGAAGGCAGTTTGGGAGTTGGCTGCATGTTTTCAAATAGAAGATGTATAGAGGTGAGGGTGAGACTCTCAGCTGTAGAGACAAGCCGGATCTCTCAAGGCTGTGATTCAGTTGTCTAAACAGAGGCACCCTGTCTCATGTGAAACACCCTACAGTATCCATGTCATCCATGTATAGCTGGTAGAAATGACAAAAACCCCCATACGAATGGCTTGGATATCCTGAGGTGTCCCAAGGTCGCTGGACCGCCCTGTTCAGACATCTGAATCCTGTCCCCTCTGTTGCCCCTCCAGAGATGAGATGGCACCCAGATGTACAACATCCTGGGCAAACAATTCCATGCATGCAGGGATGACACTTTTTACTAAAGAGGTCCATCAGGTGAAATTTTGAATGCTTAAGAGGGCAAAGTGCCTGAAGGACTTCATTATGCCTCTATGAATCCCTCAGCAACACTAGACTACCTGAAAAGCCTCTCACTGCATTAGATTAGCACATCCCAAAGTCACAGGAATTCACAGCTGGAAAGGACACCCTCCCAACCCTTACTGCCTCATGCACTGAGACAGGCCTGAGCATTTCTGAACCATCTGTGCTGGATGTTTTCTTAATTATTTATTTGAAAAGTTGAGCAAAACACCACTGGGTTATGTCTTACAGTGCTGCATGATTCATGCCATTAGGAAGTTTTTATGTTGTCTGGCCTAAATCTTCTTTACTTCAGTTTAAGCTGATTTCTTCTTGTCCTTGTTTTGATGGACATAATGAACAGTTGATCATAATCCTCTTTATAACAACCTTGTACATACTGGAAGACTGGGAGACAGATTTTCTGAGAACTTGGTTTTGGCCTTAAAATAAGTCTTCCAAATTATTTTGCTTTTGTACCACTTGGCCACAAAATAGGCAGTTTTCATAAAAGAAAGAGACAAGAGTGATCATTTGATAACCATCTCTATCCCTCTGCAAATGCAGGTTTTAGTCCTCTGAGAGGCGACCTGTCACACATTAAACTGATACTCTTATTTATCTGTGTCATGTGTAATCTGTAAATCCTTCTAGTGAGATAAAGGTTTGCAATTTTGTTCCAACAAAAATGTTTGGAGACTTTAACTGACTGGTGCCTCTGATCCCTTATTGAACTTGCAGTGGCCTAAGTGACTAGTTGCTGAGCCAAGGAAAGCTCTATTAGGTAATCTGGATAGTAGCACAATAGACTTCCCCCTTCTTACAAAGCTAGAGATTAAGAAAAGAAGTGCAGATAATAAACAAAACCAAAATATACTGATTTTAGAAATCACTCAGGAGCATTTTCTCAGCTGTGTAGGACTGATGCTGCCACTTCAGATGTGCGTGTTTGGCTCCTGGTGCGAACCTCAGACTACACGTGTCCACATCTCCTCCTCTCTTCAGAACAGTATCTCTTGCACAAAACTCGATTTGCCTTTTCTGAAAAATAAGACCTGTTTGTCAAGGAACCGGAACCCTATCTGAAATCCAGAATCCATTGGCACTGCTGCAGTTCATCTGTGAGAAGTGCTGACAGCCTTTGAGAAGCAATGCAAAACCTGTGAGAGCCTCACACTACTGTTCGTTTAGATTATGGAGCTGGGGAAATTAAGTCCATCACTGCTCACTATCTTGAAGAGGATTGGTTTGAGGAAGAAGCAAGGAGCAAACAAGACTATGTGTCTCCCAATGTTGAGCAGGCTGGAAGAAACTCAAACCCAGCATTGGGAATAATACATATTGCATAGGAATGGTATCTCGTTTAGCTATTTGTGGAAATACTTGTGCTCAAGTTTCACTCAGAAAACACCAGTTTTGCATGTTATATAGCTCCTTGGTGGTGTGACATGATAGCAAGGAGGAGCAAATGTGATGGGTGACAGCATCGGTCACTGCCATGTCACCCCCAAGTCAACAGGAACTGAAGCAGCCATCTGTTATGTGACCTGAGGAGTTAAGCATGGTTTTGAAGGCTTAGTTGTCATTCCTGAAATACCCATATTGTAACACAGACAGTGCAGTGCTGCACCCCCTTATCTCTGCAACCTGCCTCCAGGGAGCTTGGCTGTCTGTGTATCCGAGATTCCAAAGCCCAGCTGTGATATGGCACAGCTGTGTAACCTTGAGTCTGGCTGCTAAAAAAGGAACCATGAGAAAGTCAACATACAGATAAGACAGGTAAAATTAGTCAGAGGCAAGGATGCTGAGACAGGCTTGTTGTAGAGCTCAAGAATTCAAGAGGGAAAACACCTGAAGGGAAAAGTATTGAATCCTTTTTTTTTTTTTTAAAAAAAAAAAAAGATAAAAATATGAGACTGTTTGGGGGCTGGTTAGAAATTAGGGGTTGGTTGTGTTGCGTTGGTGTTACATCCCACTGCACAGGGATAACCAGCATTTTGAGATGCCTGTAATCCCTTGTAGTAAAGGGGCATGAGCCTCCTCTGAGCCCCAGATGTCCCCCCTAGCTTCAGGGGTTCTGGTCCACTCATGGGGACATGCTGCTGCCACAGCAGCAGGGGTATGGCCACATGCTATCTTAGCAGCACTGTGTGGAGAACAAGGAATTAATTTTGACACCTCGAGGTGAAGCAAGGACACAGGTGGGCCACACTTGCTGGACCAGTGCATAAATACCAGGAACACGGTGCCTGCCTAGATGCACACACACATGCACACACTGGGTAGCTACCAGATTTTCTGGCCCTCAGCAGGCTAATTCCAGCTGGACTCAGTCGTGCCTTTACTTTACCCCAAGTCCTGAAATTCAGCCAAAGATGAGTCTGGACATCCAAACCCGCACAGCAGCTGCCAAGCAGAGCAGAGGCCATGTTGGAGGATGAACCAGTGTCCATGGGAAGTTGAGGAGGAGGGAGCTCCTCCTCAGCTGGGAGCAGTACACGGGGACTGCCCAAGGTCCCAGCCCTGGGTGGCCACGGCTCTGGGTGTCCTGGCAGGGTTGGCCTTGGCGGTTCTTCTGCCTCTGCAAAGCAGCTGCACAGTGGTCCCATGAGGTCTCCCAGCTTTGGGCACATGCCTGAACCACACAAGAACTGCAGGTATCTAATGGGTGTCTGTCAGCCCCCCTCTGGTGGTGACCATGTCCCACTGACATCTGTTTAGGATTTGGGCCTGCACAACCCCTCATGGCAGGTGCTAAGTGTACTGGGCAGGGTGGTTGCTGTAGATGGGAAGGGCCTGAAGGATGCCTTTGTGTCCCTGAGCGCTCTTCTCACTTTACCAGTGGTGATTATTCTAACACAGACTGTTGCTCCAACAGCTCTTGCTCACTGGTTGTATTCAGCCACCCCAGTCAGAGCAGTGCTGCTGGTGATGGGCAGCGTGAAAACACTCCACAAAGCATCTTTGCCACACTTCGGCTGGCATCTTCTGGCAGATGAGTCCTCCTGCCATTTGGAGATAGACTGGTTTATTCAACCACTCTCTGCAGAGGCTGCTCCCCTCAAGAGGTTCAGATTTTTCCAGCCCATCTCCTTATTCCCCTTGTTTTCCCCTTGAGCAGGGATCTACCTGGTGCTTCCTGAGGAAGGTACTACCTGCAGCTCTAGGAGAAGGTAAATGAAACACTCTCCAGAGTTTGTGACCTTCTTCCTACCTGGGTTCACTCCTTCAGCCCCTCTTCATCTCTGGAGATGCAGGCTGATGGTCAGGGCCCCAAGGACAGCCCGCACCTAACCCTGGCACTGGGAAAAGGGCTGTGGGAGAAGGTGTCATGGGCAGCCTCTTTGGGGAGCTACTGCCTTGTGCAGACCCTCATCCTGGTCCCCACCTGATAGCGCTATGTGCAGTCCTGCCTGGCCTCAGACCCTGCTCGTCCTGACCCCCACCCGTGGGCCCACAGCCCTGACTCAGGGAGCTGCCCGATGCCCGGGGCTGCCCCAGTGCCCCTGGCTGCTCTGGGCTGGAGCGGTGGGATGGACCCAGCCTGCTGCCCTTCCATGGGGATGCCCCACCACCCCAGTCCCTGGGGATGGATGTGGGTAACGGGGTCTTGCTCCCCTGGGAAACACAGGATTTAATCAGCCCACAATACCAAGTGGAGAATTTTGCCTGTTATTTTTATTTTACTTTTTATCAGCAGCAGTTAAACTATTTCATAATGGAATCACGTTCCTATCTAAAACAGATCAAGCAATAAAAAGGTGTGAAGACCAGATGAAGGAAGGTATATGGAGGTACAGCATATGGAGAATTTGTATTCCTATCCCTTATTCACCCTGCAGATAATAAACTGCGTAGTTCACATATTTACAGAGCTTTGCAAAAGGTTAGCAGTTACCTCCTCTATAATACATGAATGTAGGGAAAAAACAACATATGAAACTGTAGAAATATCAAAAACCCTTTGGAAAGGTAAATCATGAGCATAACATTGCCAAGACCTCTTCTCATATTGACAGGAAAGGATTTGCACTGAGAAATCCTATTAATAGAGATTATTTGCATAAATCTTTTGTGCAGCAGACTCCAAACCATTGGTACTACATGTACTTCTCCTGTGGCATGTATGTTAAAACAATGTATATTTAAGAATATATTCATTTTGTCACTTATAAACGTACACAGCCATGACTCACTAGTAGCTAGTTTCTCTTGCAGAAGTGAAGTCAAGCTTACAGATCTGTAAGTGATGGGATTGCAGTTCTCCCTCTCATTTCTTGGTGTAAACTTCATTAAACACCCACCCGTTCTCAATAATTCCCCTTCCAGTAAGTTTTAACAATCGCTCCATAAAAGCTTTCCAGCATCTCCCTCTCCTGTTACAATCCTAGGAAGTGATTTATCACTCCAGTCTGGGTGCACTGACAACTTTTAATAGTACTAATTGCCTTATTATCCACTCCAGTGCAAGGGTAAAACCTTTTGACATTTTCCTTCCTTCCCTGAGGAAAACAAATCCCGGTTCCTGGGATGTTGCCTTCTGCTGCCTCTGTGATTACTGGGGCGAGGAATTCCTTTAGGCCCTTTGCCTTATCAACCTCATCTGTCACCAACTTTTTGTTTCTGTCTCTCTCTCGGTGTCCCTAATCACTTTGCATCTTATGTTATTTTGTGTTATTTTTTTCTCTCTTTATTTTTCATTTGCAATGTCAGTCTTCATCACATATGCTATTCCTTATTTTCTATCAATGTACTTTTTCCACATCAGGCTCTGTGATACTTACCTTGCTCCAGTTTACTATTTTTAAATTAGTGTAGGAGTGCCTATAAAAAAAAAAAAAGACATTTTTCTGGCTGTTCCATATTTGAGAATTTGCTGCAACAATTCCAAGCAAATCACACACATACACAAATTCCTGTATGTCACCTACCAGGGGATCTTAATTTTCTAAAAGCAAATCTAATATCAGAAAAAAACATTTGCCAGATATCTAACCTTTCCAATGCTGATAGAATAAATAAATTTGTAAATAAATTTGCCTTTTTTTTTTTTTTTAAGCAAAACCTGCTCTTAATTGCAGTACCACATACCCCCCTCAGCATCTATTTTTTTTGCTCAGTGTGAATAGTAAGAAGAGACCAGCCATAGAGCATTTATGATATATGTTCAGATGTGCAGGAACACAAGGCTAAAACCGGGAGAAAGACTGAGGGGCTGAGTGGGATAGCACCTACTTTCGCAGTCTGATAGATGTGCTGCTTGGATGGGACCACGGGAGCCTTCTGCTCACACCAGGATGGTTGGTCATCAGGTCGATGATGATGATGATGAGGTTGATCTGTTGATCAGGTCAGCTCTGGCTTTGTTCAGCCAAATCCTGTAACCCCTGAGGAGGTAGAACACACATTTGCCCCAGGTGACTTGCCCCAGTGCTGCACCGCCCTCGTGCTGGAAAAGCTTTTCCTGATGTCCAGTGTGACCGTCCCAACCCAAAACTTGTGGCTGTTGCCCCTTGTTGAGGAGGATTTGGCTCCATCATCTTTGTAACTCCCCTTCAAGTAGTTACAGGCGGCCTTAGATTGCCTCTCAGCCTCCTCTTCCTGAGGCTGAACAACTTCATGTCCCCTTGTACGTCCTATGCTTTAGGCCCCTAATCAGTTTAGGTGTTTTTCTCTGGACCCTTTTCTATTTCTCCACATCCCTCTTGAACTGAAGGGCCCCAAAATGGCCACAGTATTCCGGGTGTGGCCTCACCAGTGCTGCGTACAGACAGGGAGATCAAACTTTCCATAACTGCTGACCATGCTCCTCCTAAAGTACCTCAGTATCTGATTTCCTTCATTTGCAATGACAGTGTGGGGTTCATTCAAATTAAGTCTGTGGTCCACCATAGCACCCATGCCTTTTCCAACATAGCTGCTACTCAGCCACTGCCTGTCTACGGGGTTAATCTGCCCCAGACACTTTCTGCTTCTCCCTGCTGAACAATTCCAGATTGCTTTTTGTGCAATGCTCAACATCCCCAGCTTTGCCTTCGAATCAAAACTCTACAGTTCAGTGTGTAAAATGCCTCTCCTGATTTGGTGTCACCCACGGCCCTTACTTAAAGGGCTACATTTTGGCCCATCACACAGGTTTTTGATGAAAATATTGAACAATATTCATGCAGCAGCGGTCCCTGATGTACTCCACTTGCTACCGCTGCCAGCTGGACACCAAGACATTGATCGCTGCCACTGGGGCCTGGCAGTGCAGACAGTTTTCGGCTCGTGTAAGAGCTCGCTCCACCAGCCTCCCCTTCTCTATATAGCCAGGCATTTCATCAGAGAAGGAGAACAGGCCAGGCAAGCATGATTTGCCCTTGGCAAATCACCTCGTCCTTCATGCCCTTGGCAGTTCAAACATGCTTCATGGAATTTCTCTCACCCAACCTTCAGTACCTACAGGTGAGCAAGGCATGGCCTGGGCTGCCTTTAAAAACAGTGAGGAACAGTGGGTCCTTCCAGGTCAAGTTCATCTGAGCCACTCTAGATGTCAATTTTAGAATAAGGTGGATTTGCCACAGAAATGCCTGTTTCCTTTCATTTATATAAGCAGACCACAGGGTACACCCAGCTTGACATCCACATTCAGACAGAGAAATTCCTCCCCTTGTGCCTTACCTACAAATCCTATACACTGTGCAGTCCATGGTTTTCCGATTCTCTGTAGACTACCCAAGGATCTCAAAGCCTAACTGGAGATTCTAGTAATGACATGAAAAAAATGTTTCCAGTGTTTGTTCTACTTTGCTTTCATAGAAACCAGTTAGTCATTGAAGCATATGCTTAGCTTTATTTGCAAAGCAGCCTCAAAACAAAAGCTCCTAAAGAAGCCAGCATGCAATTTAGGAGGCACAAGAAGCTTTTAAGTATGGAAATTAAGTATCATATTTAATGCCATAGGAATAGAAAAAAAAATATTATCAATGTTTCAAAAGGCAATTTCTCAATATTTATTATTTTTAACCATCATACACTATTATAACAGCATTAAAATATAGACTTTTATTGCTGTTAATTTTCATTCCTCCTCTTTATTGTTCCAAGTAGATTATGAAACAGTATTTGACAACACCCATTTCTCATATATTTCTTTCATACATCTGCAGGTTTTTCTTACATTTACAGATTGGTTCAGATGTATTTTGGCTTAGATTTCTGTCTAAGCAACATCAACTATCAAAGCATTTGATTGTCTCACTGGAGAGGATCTGAAATCTGGAAATCAAATCTGTATATTTGGCAGCAGTATGAGTTTGTTGCCTGTTAAACACGAGAAAACAACATAATATTCACTTCACAATTAATACTTCTAGAAAATAAAATGTTTAATTAAAAATCATACTAGATATGTTAGCTCTTAATTCTCTAGGTCCCATGAGTGTGTATTGGCAAGCATATGTAGATAGCCTCTTGTTGCAATGAAAGTTCAAAGCATCTATGTTAAATGGGAATTGTATGGTTCAATACTCGTTAATTTCCTTTGTGGATGTTAACATTTTCTATTAAGTATTTTTCAAATATACAGTGCACATATGCAGAAATGGCTTTTTACAGCTTATGGCTGTGAGCAGTTGATTTTGTGGGGGTTTGACAATGAAGCCAAAACCTCTTGTATCAAGGATGAGCTGTGTAACAATATATTCTAGTTCTCAGGTAAGCAAACAGGCAGCAAAATAAGCTGGCTGTAACCAGCGTTCCTTTCTTCCTTCTCTCCTATTAGAGCATTGCTGCTTCAAGCAGCATATTTAACTATTTAGCAATTGCAATTATTTAAGGTAAACTTTGAAGAGATGAGACCCAAGTTTCCATCCTCACTTGCATGACTGCAGAGACACATCCACACAACAGAATGTGTCAGCAGAAGAGACCAAGGATATTTCATACCAAAACACCTTATGGTTTGGTAGGTAGGGTACTGGTCTAAGAAGCAGGAGAGGTTTCCCAGGACGAGGTAACTGAACGTGGTCTCCCACTTCCTTGAGCTCTCTAACCCAGAGGCATTAACTGTCAGATAGTTCAACATTGGCTCATGGGGTTTATTCCCTCACTTCAACCCATTTTCAAGCACTGCATTTTCCATCAGCTATAGCATATGTTGTGGTCCTCTATTTTAGGTAGCTGCGAAAAAAAGATGACAGGTAAAACAAAAGCAGGGAGGTAGGAACACGGGGCACTGAGAAACTGGGGACAAGACAAGAAGGTGATGGCGACAAAGGACCTCTGGGTGCTGAGCCCATGAATTAGTCAAATCTGTTAACGCTGTATTGGTTAACCCAAGCTACAAACTACAGCCAGCTTGTGTCCAGCAAGATTTCTTAGTTAAAGCATGGCACCACTTGCGCTAGGGTTAGCCATGCTGTTTCCAGTCCAGTGTGCAAGCACAAAAGCCCACATTAAGTCTCAGCACTCAGCAGAGCTCCAAGATTTAGATGGCCTCTTAGCTTCAACATGGGGCCAAACCTGACCAAGGTTTCAGGCTGTGCTGGATCAGCATTGAAGGTTTTGTGCCAACCCACCCCACAATTATCTTAATTGAACTCTGCTTCCAGTCATACAGGTCCTAATGAATGTCAGCTGCCTCTGTAGTTAAGAACCCACCACCTGCTTCCCAAACTGTCCCAAAATAACAAATATCAACTTTTCCATTTGTCCCAGTACTGAGACATCACCACATTGCATCAGACCTGCTTCCCAAGGAAAAACCAGCTCTTTATGTTGATCATTCCTGTCTAATTTTTGAACTATAATACAAGAGACAAGGGAGGATAACACCTCCTACTCTTGGCAGATTTGATTTTAGTCCTCCCCCACCACCGCCTGCCCCATGTACAGTCCCACGGTGACCAAAACCTGTATGTTTTCATGATCAACCCCGCTTCCAAAAATGCCTTCCAGCATACCTAATTCCAGTTGAGCTGACTTTGGGTGAACATTAACTTTTCCCACTATTACCTACAGACCCCACACAGGCAACTGCATGCTTTTTTAAAGTAATTCTTTGAGACTTCCAACAATTTGCAAAAGGTTAGGAGGAGGTATTACTAATGCTTCTTGACATTACCATATGCTATGCGTGTTACAAAAATGTGCACAGGCACCCATTTTGAATTACAGTATTGACTTCTGCATTTTACTCTGTATTCATCCCTCCTTCTTAAGACCTTATGATAAATGCACTTGAATCTAGAAAGTAGCTGTATCTAACTGAAACATTTTAATTTTCAGTCTGTCTGCTGAAACAGAAAGCCTTCAAAGATTAAAGGGCCAGAATTTGGCTAAAAGTTCAGTAATAAAATCACACCACCAGTCATCTCACTTTACTTTAAAACCTATTGCCTGATGCTGCTTTAACTAAAAAGACATAACTTCAGAAAATTGATTATCCCATTAAGATAATACAAAACAAATAGACGATTTATTAGCAATGTCTCCCCAAACTCATTGTTTAGTAAATTTAGTGAACAGATGTTCACTACATTACAGAGGGATAGATGGTGTGCCTTAGTCAATCATTGAGCTTAGCGTTCAATTTTCAATAGTGACTACTAATAATAGTTTGAGAAGAAAAAAAATGCACAAGCCTAAAGAAGGTAAAGGCAGGATAATCTCGTCACTAGAGTCATTTTATCGTGAACTTCACTGAGCAACAGCTATGGCCAGAGAAACCTAAAGTTGCTTTTCTTGCACCTTTAGCTGTAATTGAGCACTTCTGCAGTTTACTTCAGTGTTGCCCCATCTTTCCCTGAATGGAGCCTGTTCCTTGGTTTCAGTAGCAAGCAATGGAAATGAGTTCCACAGCCCAATTACACCTTACATGAAAAGGTGTTTCCCTGTGCTACATTCATGTTTTCCACCTTTCAGTCAAATTCTTCAGCTCCACAATAAAAAGCATAGAGAAGCTGGCTCAGCCTCTCATTAATTAATGAAATTAATATATTTCTAAGACTTTCCTTATTAATCATCTGCTTTTTTTTTTTCATGTTTTCTTCTCCCCCCAAAAGTGCTCTTGAAAAAAAATTTTCCATCTTTATTTCACCCTTCTCTGAATCTTCTCAGCCTGCATTAGTTTGTCAGAGAGGGTAACAGTGGCTTTGAAATCATTCCAGAGAAGAACTTGCCACCAGAAACATAGTATTTCTATTATATTCCATTTTTAATAATCCCATCAACATTCATTTTTCTGACTAATTTTATAAAGCATTTCCTTATGTACAATGATATACAAGTCTGTTCTGAGCTAACACATAAATTCTCAGGTAT